TATATATATGATTATCTGTTCCTTTGTTTTAGTAACAGTAGTTATAAGTTACAAGTCACTTAAGCACCTGATGTATGTGTTACGCAATAAAATAAAATTAAGTTACATATCATAGCAAAGAAATTTAGGAGCTAGGAGATCCCCATTACATGCTTTTCTTTATATGTTAAATAAAGAATGAGTATATCTAACAAACTTAAATTTCATATTAACTTTAAGTGAATAGTACGTAGAGTCAAATTAATTTCGAATATTAGATTTTTATCAATCTTGTTGATCAAAAAAGAAAAGAAAAGAAAAAACTACATTAACATAATGATTCTGATCTACTTACAGAAGCGCAGATTGAGTAGCTATATTGTAGATGCTCTGGGTAGCGTCCTAATTCCCATTTAGCATCTCCCACCAACAACGTTTTAAGAGTACTCTGGGCTTCCAAACTTGAACTGTGCATAACGTACATTGGTGGATCTCATACCATCGCTCCCTAACCTTCCTCCCTCATTTTAGTTAGAATCATTAAGATTGAATTGGGCATTGGTTGAGCACTCTCCGTTTAACATTTTACTTATTTTATGATTTTTAACTATTAACAATAAAAAATAAATAGATGAGGATAGATGAGATTGAGTTTTTTATTGATGATAAAGAAGAGAGAGCTTACAATGGTAGATAGAAGGGTGATAGGATAGAAGATCTTTAGAAGATTGAGAATAAATATTTTATTCCTTGTTGGAAGGATTCTTAGTCTTGTAAGACTTCCTTCCTGAGGGAAAGGGGTACTTGGCTAAGGTTTCTTACTGGGATAAAGACTCCTCTTTTCTTGAGATTTACTTCTATAGTATTAGTAGAACTAAACTAGGATGTCTGCAGAGGTTTCTTAAGGTACGTTACAATATATTGTTTCAAAATTTCACTTTCTACCATCAAAATTTTCTAAATTCTCGCTATAATCTAAATACTAGATAGATTTGGGCCCAACCCTAAGCATAAATTTCAGACATATATTATCATAATCTTTCATTAAAAAAAAAAATGGTCCCACCCTCTTCGAAATCACTTCAAACTCATAATCTTACCATTAATTACTTTCTTTAAGTCTCTAATAGAAATTCTAGTTGGGAACCTTCTAAGGGTACTATAATTAATTCCATACTTATAATGCACGTAACGAACCTTGATGGCGCTCATACCACCACTGCCTATGCTTTTGAAGATTGAATTAGTCGGATTGGTTGAGTCTGATCCGTTTAACATTGGACTGATTTTATTCTTTTTAATATTATTATTTCTTCAAAATTTCACTTTCTACTATCAAATTTTTCTAGAGGAAAATCTCACAATTATTTACCACTTTATATGTAAGCTTTTGATTAATACACTCCCGAACTATTTTCTTATCAGCCAAACGCGTACCGAGGATGGTGTCTTCCCAACCATTGTTAATTTAACAATAGAATTTAAGCATTCAAACAAAAATCTACTACTTTTATTTCCTTTTTTCTAACTGTGGAGAAGATGTGTAAAAAACTAATTTGAAAACTTTATAAATAAAAAGAAATATTAATGCAAATGTTACATGACAGAATAAGAGTTACACTTCATAACAAATAAATTTAGGAGTTAGGATGAAAAGAAAGATCCCCAATTACATGCTTTTTTCTATATGTTGAATAAAGGATGAGAATATTTAACAAACAAAGGTAAGTCTGATGCTAACTTTAAGTTAATGTTAAGTAGAGTCAAATTAACTTCAAGTATTAGACCACTATCTTTTCAATTAAAAAAAAAAAACATTATATCATGTCAGCAGAATGATTCTTTGATCTGTTAATTATGTAAGCACAGATTAGCTAGCAATATTGCAGATGCTCTGGTAAGCTTTCTGATTCCCATGCAGAATCTCCCACCACCAACATTCTAAGATTACTATGTGGGCTTCCATACTTATACTGCATGTAACAGACCTCGTTGGCCCTCATACCATTACTGCCTATGCTTTTGATGTCAAATCCACATTTTCATTTATGTCATTTATTTGTCATGGACCAGTTCTGGGCTTTCCCTTTTGAACCTTCCTCTCATTTTGGTTGGAATCATTAATATTGACATCTGGTCTCCTACTTCTGCTTGTATTCTTGAAAGAAGGCAGCTTTAAATACAGTTTCTTGCAACTCCTTAGTGAGAGGCAATTAACTTCCCTACTGTTATGTGGCTTTTCACTCCCATTTGCAACACAAGTTACAAATTGGCTTTGAAGTGTATCCAAACACAACTCTGCCTGCAGTAGGATAACCCATTGTGTATGATAGCTGTGAATTCGAAGTTACGAAAAAAGCTAATGATAAAATCCCTAAAACAAACAAGCAACTTTGGGCATAGTGTCAGATAGAAAAGCAACAAAATATATTGAA